TTGATTAACCTGTTGGATATCAATTACAAAGTCAGCTACACTTATTTGGTATGAAACACACAATCTTAGTAATGTATGAATTGCTCTTTTTATATGTTTTTGCAAAGGCTTTCACAAAGCACTTAATTCCTCTTTTCCACCCATTACACCTTGTTAAATTGTGGTCATGGTGCAATTATAATTAAACATTAACTGAACAAAGAAAACTCATTTGTGTTTTTGTAGTCAGAGTGGGTGGCAGCACCTTGGCTGATCTTTAAAAAAATGAGAAGAAAGCTGAGCAGAGTAAGACTTGGATGGAAGTCTACTGAGAAATCCTAGAGCTTGGGATGTTAAAAAAAAATTCTTGGAAGGCTTGGCAAACCACTTCTCTATTGCTGCCAAGAAATTTACATGGACACTTCTCCATAGCCACCAGGAGTTGTACTCAAATCAAGAGCCTTTACCATAGAAATGAAGTATATAATAGTTTACAGTTAGTGATGGCTCAAATACTGTAAACATCATTTAAAACATTCACTAGTTATAATTATTTGGATCTACAGTAAGGAGGATGATAACGCAGATGTCTTTTAGAGGATAATTGCAAGAATTGAAACAAAGCTGAACCACCTTGTGTTTAAATTGATGTTGGCTTTGTGTATTGTTTGGTTTGTAAACTATGATTTATGATTAAGCATGTTGTGAAACCAGATTTGTGGTTTCTTTTGTAACCCACAGTTAAACAACCTATGGCTTGGTATGCTTGTGAACCCAGTCAGTATGAAAAAGTGTTGGTGTTCCTGAAGAAGGGGAGGTCACCTGAGGATCAGCCTGCATGGCCAATAGAGTTGTAGGTTGAAACAATTAAAAAAGGTTTGTGTTGCTTATTATTGCTGTGAGGACTATAAAGGCTAAATTCCTCATAATGCTCACATAATGTATAAATTATTTACGAGGAAAAGCAAACCTGAAGCCCTGTAAAGCATTTGAACGTAACATATGAATCTTATAGAGAAATAATAAAGTTTTCCCAAACATCATTGAGAAGTGTTTCTGTCACTAATGGGAAAAGGCATAAATCATCTTAAATACAGAGAAAAAAACTGTGATTGAAGCATCTTTGTAAAAGTATATTTGTGTGGATGTTTGTGGGTTTAATCCCTAGACAGTTGTCAACGATCTGTTCATGTTATAGAAATTTAGTGGAATGAAATCTGAGCTATGGGAATATGTGGGTTACTCTTCATATGGCATGCCTGTATTGAGTTACCAAAATTAATTGTGCAAATAAGATAGTAACACATTACAGCCCCTTGTAGTTGAGATTTTTGGTATATAATTGTGAAGTAGTCACATACTGTTTGTTGTGCAGGTAAATTTTTTTTTTAAACTAGCAAATCCAGATAAACAGTTACATCACAGGAGTACTGTAAAACTACTCTTTGTGAAATTGAACCATTTACCTCCAAGAACTCAAGGTGACGTACATAACAATTCCTCCTCCTCCAATTCTTCTCCCTCAACAACTACCATCTCAGGTAGGTTGAACTGAAGAACAGTGCCTGGTCCAAAATGATCCAGTGAACTTCCACAGTGGAGGGTGGACTCTGGTCCTAATTAAACAATCTTACAGAGAGATTTTTTTTCTTCTTATAATTTACTGTTGCCATGAGGCTTCTTTGCCATCAGCTCACTGTTTTCTTGTTTGTATTGTTATTTTAAGAATAGCTTCAGGGTGGAGACTGAGCAGATGTTGACTTCTCTGTCTGATTTTAGGCATGCAACAGAAATGTTTATTTTACTATTTAAATGTTTTAAAAGGTTAAATGAGTTTCATTTATTTGAATGGAAATGCAAAGTAAGTAGCTCAGGATTTTAACTCTCCTAATTTCCATTTTTCCTTCCTTGGATAGATGATGTGGGAGTTTAAGATGAACCTTTTTTTTTTTGCTCAAAAAAGAAACAGTAGAGTGAATTTATCAAACAGGAAGTGGTTATTTTGAAACGAGATAGTCTTTGTCATTGGGACTGTCTTCACATATAAAAGGTTGAAGGAAGACAGGAAAAAATAGTTCGAGTACAAACATAAAGTTTAAGTCACCGATGGGATAAAGGAATCTTTTGATAGCTGTTTAGATAATTTGCAGGGGACATTTCCAATGCTCTCTGTTTCATATTATGTCAGAAAGAAGAACAGTACCATCTAGGTTGGTATGGATGTGAATGAAAAAGGGAATCTATATGTTGCTGGTAGTTGCATGTTACAGTGCATGGATTTGTCTACCTAAATTAAGTACTTTGCATTTGTTGTTTTTGAAATCCATCTTGATAGTTTTTGCCTGTTGTTCAGGTTTGTCAAGAACCTCTTGAATACTGATACTATTCCGTAAGGTGCTTGCTGTCCTCTTTATTTTTGTGACATTCATAAATTTGGTAATTATATTTTCTCATCCCTTATGTAAGTCATTTATAAATACATAAGTTAACACAGGGCCCAGAATAGAGCCCAGTGACACATCATTCAAGATTTCCTCCCAGCTTGATGTGAAACTGTTAACGTACATTCATTGGCTACTGTTCAAACATCCAGCTAATGGTAAACATAGCCCATCTGTGTCATCTTGTCTGCTAAAGTCTCACAGGACACTTTGTCAACTCCCAAAATTTGTTGAACTCAAAGTTTGGTATGTCTACCACATTTTTGTGATCATCTAAACTCATCATATAGTTTAAAAAGGAGGTCATGGTTTGACCTAGTTTATTTTTGATAAACCCATGTTGGCTCTCAGATGACATGACTCTTGGCTATACTGTATTGGTCTGGTCTTGGAGTCCTGTGTAGAAAAGATTTAAAAGATATATTAGAATGAATGGAAAGTGGACACAAGGAAAAAGGATGTAGAAGTTGCTTGGAACACCGTGAACATAATTATGTTACAGAATGCTAGAGTGGTGTATGGAGTTACATCAGTAGAAGTACAAAGTTAGTTGGTGAAATGATGAAAATAAAGAGGCTGTAGAGGAGGGGAAAAAATGTAAGAGAATGATAGTTGCAAAAAAAAAAATCTGAAAGAGAAAATATTGGATTATGTGTATAGAGACAAAAAGGGGCTTGAAAAGAATGTAGTTAGAGACAGCAAGAAACAATTAAGATTTAAAAATGTGATTTCTTTGGAAATAAAACATTGTTTCAGAATTGGGTGAAGTGGGCTAAATAAGGACCCTCCAGCAGAGTGAATGGAATTAAAAGTGATTAAATTGTTTGAGAAGGAGTATTTTAGAGATATGTATAGGAATGGCAGTGATATGTTGAAGAGTGGAATTGAAACAAATGCCGTAAATATTAGCACCCAAGACAAAAGTGATATAAAGGAAGTCAAGAATGCTGTGAGAATATGGATGAATGTAAAGCTCCAGGTGTAGATGGTGCAGCTGAAGAAATGTTCAACTATGGTTGTTGGCTGATGGAATGGTCATATGACTTGTTCATTTGTGTGAGAATTGTGTCTATGCCTAATAGTTAGAAGAATGCTGTTCTCTTATACCAGTGTTTCCCAACCTTGGCAACTTTAATATGTGTGGACTTCAAGAAGTCCACACATCTTAAAGTTGCCAAGGTTGGGAAACACTGCCCTATATAAAGAGAAAGGTAACAAGAGCGAATGCAGAGACTACCAGGGATTTGTTTATTAAGAGTTGGCAGAATTCTGCTTAAAAGGGTACAAGAGGTGACATTGACTCATGCCCTCATCACTATGCTGATAGATAGTTTTTAATTTTATATTGGCATATTTTGGGGGACTTCTAGGTTTTCTACTATGAATGTTTTATTAAATTGTTGTAAACTGCCCATAGTCCTGTTGGTTGTTGATTGCATGTGTGCGTTCATATTTACATAGACATACATGTATGCACCAGAGGTTTGGAACTTGTGATCTTCCAGATGTTGCTGAACTAGAATTTCCCACTTTCCTCATTGTTGTCCATATTGGCTATGGCTGCTGGAAACTGTAAGTCAGTAACATCTGGAAGGGTGAAAGTTCCCTATCCATAACCTCCCATCTTGGCAGAAGATGGCCAGTAATCTTATCTACTGTATTTTTTGCAGCTGCACTGGAATGTGCAGAAAGACACATTGCCCCACCTCTGTGGGGAGAGTGTTTTGAACTCTTTCGATTCTTTTTAATTTCTTTTAGTTTGTTAGGTGACTACCCAGTTGAGCGCAATGAGTAGATTTCCAGTTTCCATGCAAACAAGGACATGGGATGCTTTCTGCTCTTTAGTGCCTGATAAATTTGGAGAGAATATTGCTCTAAGGCAAAATTCCCAAAGAGAGTTGAGTAGAATCTCTTGCAGAGAAACCCATCAACAGCTTTCTTAACCATTTTATGTACTATTTAAAAAGAAAATGTTAGGAAATATTTTCATGCAGGCTTATGTCTTTAGTATGAACTAAACTGCTTATTAGTGACTGGAAACCCCTTATGGACTTTTTGCTGAAAAAGGAAAAAAATGAACTTGTGATTTTTGGATTTGATGATTAGAAAGGGTAAATTATGAAAAGAAGGAAATTATGATGTAACCTTAAAGAGAGGGTAAAATATAAACACATTTATAACCGCTGTTAAGAAGATCAGAAGTCACTTCCTTATAATCTTTTCTTTTTCTTTTTCTTTCTTGTCTATGTCTCTCTTTTTATTTCTTCTTCACTTATTGCTTTTCTTTATTCTTCTTACTTTCAACTTAAAATGTGTACTGCTTTTATTCTGTTGAAAACACACACATACACACACACACACACACACACACACATAAAACACTAAACTGCATTTTTCTGCAGCCATTCCAGCCATAGTTTATGTTTCATCGTTCTCTTTCCAGGAAGAAAGAAAAAACAAAGATTGCATATACATAGCTCTCTCTCTGTCTCTTAACTCAGATTGATGGGGAAGAAATGGAACATCAAATGATGGAATGAATCAGGGAATGAATACCAAGTACTTTTATAAATACAGAAGGATTGGGGGAAAGGGATGCAGTTAATGATTCAGAAGAATTTTCTGCTTTGGCAACCTAGAAAATGGAGAAAAATGTCCATTTTCTGTTCCTGTTTATCTCCACAGATGGATCTTTCGCTCGTGGCTTTTAGGCTGTTGGATTATCGATGGTGCTGACTGTATGGTTTTAATGTTCATTTTTCATTTGGTAAGGTGCCCAGGGCTATTTGGGACTGGTTAGTGTATACATTTCTAATAATATTAATATATTGCATTACTCCACAAATGATTTTGAAAAACTATAAAATAGGAAAGCTTTTATGTAAGACTCTTTTCAGTATGAGATCATTACAATTCCTGTATACAGTAGATAAAATATACAGCACATTTCTCAAATAAAAGGACAAGAATATACTCTTTTCTCCAAAAGATATTTATTTCCCAAAGAAATGGAGAACTCAAGCTTTTTTGTTCAGGGCTTTGTTCGATTTTTATCTAAATAATGGTGAATCAATTTCTGCCCTTCACCAGGCCTCAAAATACTAGGAATGGGGAAAACATTGATAACAACATCCATGTGAACTATTTGTGTTTGTGAGGAGTATAAAAAACATGCATGTATTTCATTTTTTTCTCAAAAAAAGTATTTTTTTTATTATTGCTTTTTCAGGAAAAAAATATTTTTTCCAGAAACTTACCTTTTTTCACCCCCCAATGCAACTGCAGCAGAGAAAGATCCATTTTTCTAACCAGCAGAGAGACGAAAGAGGGTGTTGTGTTTTCTTTTAGGGGTGACACAGCACACGTACACAGGGTCAGTTTTTAATTCCCAAGTTGGCTGTGGTTTATTTTTTCAGAAACTAATAAATATTTTCTCAGAAAACATCTGCTTATTCCTCTTTGGTATTCTTGCTTTTAACTCTTATTTATTCCATTAACCTTTCCTATACCTATATACCTGAGTATTTTCTATCCCAGTGTTAGCCAGATGTGGAGGGTGGGACATGTCATTAGAATGGATGACTGCTGTATGCCTCACCAGTTGCTCTATAGTGTACTGGAGTCTGGGAAGAGACCCTGAGGTCATCCAGGCAAGCACTCCAAAAATTCTGTGAAAGAAACCCTACGCCACTGTGACATCCAGCCAAGGGAACTAGAAGCTGCAGCTACTGACAGAACCTGCTGGTAAGCCCTGTGCTATGAAGCCTCCACTGGCTTTGAAAACAGGCACCGCCAAAAACTTATAGAAAACATGAGAAGCATCACAGAATAACACCCACAGTTACTACAACAATGGGTTTCCAGTGCCCCCATTGCACTAGACTCTGTGCTTCCAGACTGGGACTGCAGAGCCACCTCTATGTTCCCAGGTGATCTGCCCAACAGTGTGTGTTCTTCGAACCCGAAGGACTACCACACATACCTGAGTATTTTCTATCCCAGTGTTTCTCAACCTTGACAGCTTTAAGATGAGTGGACTTCAACTCCCAGAATTGAAAAAGATGGACACATGCAAACATTTTTTTCACATGCTACCACAGTGGTCAGAGTCTGGGTGTAGGAGAACATCATCCTGAATCCAGGAAAAGGGTAGTAGCCCTGGACTCAAGATTGCTTTGTGCCAGGAAGGCTGTAGAACCTTGGGGAGCAAGGAGTGAAGGCAGGAAAAGGGTTAAGGTGGTGGCAAGCCAGTTTGGTCTAGTGGTGAAGGCTCCAGGCTAGAGAGCAGGAGACCATGAGTTCTAGTCCCACCTTAGGCATGAAAGCCAGCTGGGTGAATTTGGGCCAGCTACTCTCTCTCTCATCCCAACTCACCTCATAGGGTTGTTGTGGGGAAAATAGGAGGAGGAAGGAGGATTAGGTATGTTCACTGCCTTGAGTTACTTATAAAAATAATAAAGGCAGGATAAACAATCTAAAAAAAAAAAATCCTCAACCAGCAAGATTGAGAAGCACAGTTCTATCTTATCTATATATGCTTAATTCCTGTTATTCCTGTTCCTTGTATGTCTGTGTTCCTCCTTATCTATTATCTACCTAACCCTTTATTCTGTACTTTTGCTTGTTGCTCTTAACACCACTTACTTACTTAACACTGCAAATGTATATTACATTCTGATTTTAAGTATTCTTTTGCTGTGTTGTTGTGTTTCAACACTGGCATGTGTTACACAAGACTTCCGTGTGAGGCTTGCCAGCTCTTTGGGTCCCATCGGGGGGAGGGGGCGGACGAGAAAGGAGTCCTAGGCTTCTCCTATTCATGGTGATCCTCTTACTAAAGGTGACGGACTAGTTTTCACCTGCTCTCAGTATCAGTCAGTCTTTTTGACAGCTTTTCCATTTATCTTAGCAGAGATTTATGTGTTTTCTCCCTGAGTATTTTCTGTACTAGAACTGGAAAAAGGCATAGTAAAAATGGCTCTTGCATTCCCATACTAAGTCTCCCACTTCCCTGCATGTATTGCTCATATTGCAGTAGCGTTTTGATTTATTGCTGAGAAGGACTGGGGTATTTCCTATGTATTCCCCCTCTTCCCTTACTTCCTTCTGACCTCCCAGCTTGCTATTTCCTTTTTTGTGGGGTGGGGGGGGAGTGCGGTGTGTGCCTTCAAGTCAATGTTGACTCCTGGTGAGTGACTGGACAAGTCCCTGCAGTTTTCTTGGCAAGGTTTTTTGGAAGTGGTTTGCCATTGCCTGCTTCCTGGGGCTGAGAGAGTGACTGGCCAAAGGCACCCAGCTTTAAAACCCTGAAGCAATATATAGGTCAAAAAAAAAGGAAGGCATTACATAAAAAGTTCATATTCTTTCTAGCTTAGTTTACTTTTATTTACAGTAAATGTCCTATTATGATAAAAAGAGAATTCATTAATCTGGTTTGTTGTTTTCTCTTTCACTTGGGAAACAAATCCTCCAGTTTACAAAATATTTGCAAAGCTTTTCCAATTCTTTCATTTTCATCTTACTTGAAAGTGACACTGCAAGTTCAGTATTTTTTAAACAACTGTATGGGGGGGGGGGGGCACCTTCAAGTCAGTGTTGATTCCTGGCAACCACCTGGATAAATTCCTGCAGTTCTCTTGGAAAGATTTCAGAAGTGGTTTGGCATTGCCTGCTTCCTAGGGCTGAGAGACAGTGACTGGCCCAAGGTCACCTAGCTGGCTTTGTGCTAAGGCAGGACTAAAACTCAGAGTCTCCTGGTTTCTAGCCTGGAGCCTTAACCACTAGACCAAACTGGATTGCCACCACTTCAACCCTTTTTTCTATCTTCACTCCCTGCTCCCTAAGGTTCTTCAGCCTTCCTGGCACAAAGCAATCTTGAGTCCAGGGCTACTACCTTTTTCTGGATTCAGGATGATGTTCTCCTACACCCAGACTCTGACCACTGTGGTAGCATGTGAAAAATATATTTCCATGTGTGCGTCTTGGGTGTGAGTACATGCATGCAGAGATTGGCATCAGGAGAGAAAACATCGGCAATTGCAGTGGCCTTGTCCTACATAGCCCCAACTCCCCCCTTCTAGAAACTGCCTCATCTCTTCTTTATATTCAGGGAAGAGATTTATTACCCATTCCTGTATATACCATCCCATCTTTGCCAACATTTTATTCTAGATGCTAAAAAGTTTGTGAACCCTCTTGAATTTTCTCTGTTTCTGAATAAATATGACCTAAAATGTAATCTATTCTCTACACAATTCCTAAAACTAGATAAAGAGAACCCAGTTAAACAAATGAGTGAAAAACCAATTTGTTTTATCTTTATTTATTGAAGAAAATGATACAAAGCTATATACAGCTATGTGTGGCAAAAGTATGTGAACCTTTGCTTTCAGGAACTGGGGTGCCCCCCTTGAGCAGCAGTAACTACAACTAAACGCTTCTGGAAACTCATGTTTTAGGTCATATTTATGCAGAAATATTGAAAATTCAAATGGATTCAAAAACTTAAATACCACTGTACATAGGAGAGGTTTTTCACCTCCAAACTGGATATGGTTCATTGCTTGAGGGACAAATGCATATTTTTTTCAGAAAACAGAAAATGTCCTTATTCTTCTTTGTTGTAGCTTATTGAACACATTTCCTGCCTTCAACTCTAGCCTTTTGCCTCTAAGTTTTTTTATACTTATATCCTGAGTAATTTTCATCTTATTTGTATATCCTTGTTCTTATTTCTATTCCATACATGTCTGTGTTTCTAATTATTTATTACCTTATCCCTTCTCTATAGTTTTACTTATTACTTAACAAGTCTTCTTATTTTCTTATTCTGAAGTGCCTGCTCTAAATTCTCTTTATGTCTATCCTCCCAATCATCAACTAAGTCACATGTTAATTTCCTGCAGGTGCTCTGCTTTTCTTTGGTATTCTGTTGCCAGATGAGTGGAGTGGCTGAGCAGCTTCTGTTCTTGGTCTGCTGTTATGCTGACTTGACTTCTTCAAGGTCCACCCTATATCTTTAGACGTTTGGATAGTCTTCTAGCTGCCTGGATCTCCTTTTCAAGCCTTGCCAGCATGCTGGGCTTCTCTGGATCAGAAGGAGAAAGAAAGGAGGCCTAGACTGCTTTGTACCTCTGCCCTCCCAAGTCATTCCTATGGTTTCTGGTGCTACATCTTGGTTGTTCTGGCTGTTACCTTTTCCAGGTGCTGCTGCAAGCACCTCTGAGGTCCTGGGTGCTGCTGACGTCCCAAGCTGTCCCTCAGGGTCTTCTGGGTCTCTTCCTGCAACAATTTACAGCCAAAGCTGCTTTCACCCAGCCACCACCCAGCTGATCCTTCTGCTGCTGCTGCTCCTGTTGCACATCTGCTCCCAGGAGTCACTAGCTGTCTCCACCTCCTTCCTCTCTTTCACATATCACACCTTCCTTTTTATTATGCCCACCACACAAGTGCTTTCCTACCTCCATTTTATGCTTTGTGGCACTCTAGATAAGTGTGGTGGCCTTCAAAAAGGGGAAGAGGTCATGTGGGTGTTTTCTGCTTCCACTCAGGGGCTTCAGCACTTTCCTGGAGATCTTAGATATGCATATAAGAAAAATAAAGAAGAAGCAAAAATAGCAGAAAATTAGTCTCACGTTGCTGTCCACGTCCTTTGGCAAACAAGCCATTATGTGGGAGGATAGTTGTGTAACACCATCATTTGCTTTGCTGATTCTTTCCTTGTTGCTTTTGGAGTCAAACAAATGGGTTTGTTTAAGGTTCCTGTTCCCTATAAGATTTGGTGGTTGCTGGCTTGTCCCTATATCTCTGCCTTTGGATATTATGAAGCCAACTCATTGGCCTTGCTGAGTCTTGTGCACCAAAGCCTTCAAAGTCAATGGCATATATGCACAGATCATTCTGGTATGCTAAATGTGCTGCATTTGAGAGTTCTGTTTTGTCTTGTTTTGGTTTACTTGTTTGTTTAATGGATTTATAACCTGCCCTTCAGATGGAATTATTCTCCATCAAAATGAGCATCTTCCCTGTAGTGTTTCTTGGGACACAAGGATGCTTCTGTTTTCTGTGCTAAATGAGGGGTATCTGACTGTGAAGTGTGTGTTGCTTTTTGCTTACGCAACTAGTTCATTATTTTCTTAAAGAAGGAATGGATGAAGGAAAGAATAATGTGTAAGAGCAGTATGATGGACAATCTAAATTGAAAAAAGTATTGATTTGGTTTCATACTCATCACTCTGCCTGCAACTCTTATTTTCCTAGATAAGAAGTTGCTAGATCTATTTTTTAACAATTGAAAATTAACTCCAAACATATCAGCTGTTCTCAGTGTGAAGCAGACAGCATTCCTTGTAAACAGTCCTTTTCATGGTAACAGCTTATTCTCACTGATGAAAGAACACAATCCACGAAAAATAGACAATTGTCCCTTTCTCATCTTACAGTTGCAAGGAAATTTTCACAGACTCCTTTGTTAATAGACAGTTGCAGTTCAGCTGCTATTCCTTCTACAGACATACGCTAATCTCCGTTTGATATGCCTCACACCTCATGGTTCTGTCAAGTTGTCTGAAAAACTCAGCATTTTTTTTTAAATATATCATTTTTCAGACTCAAGGAAGAAACTGTCTGGGGGCAGCAGAATGAGGTGCACTTGAACAGTTTTTAGATAAATATTTTAGGCTAAGAATTGTAGGAATAGTTACTGAACATGTCTGGAAACCATCAGGTTGAAATAGACAGCCATGAAACTTCTAGGACATGGACAGCCTTAAAGAGAGTCAATTTAGATGTGCATTGAAAGTAGGGAGAACTGACAGCATATCTGAGGGTATGATTTTTAAGCCTGTGCTATATCTGAATGCCTATGCCTTGGTTGAAGATTGCCCATGCCATATAATTAAGGTGGATAAAATCAGCATGAGGTAGAAAGTGTAAATGGAAAGAAGTTTTTATTCAGTCTCTTACACTATTAGAATCCAAGGTAATTTATTGAAACAGATTAAAGACTGATAAAAGGAAGCATTGTAGTTTAACAATACATAGTTAAATTATAGAATTTGCTGACACTGGATATGGTGATGCCCACCAATTTAGGTGAATAAGCAAATTCACTGCAATGGGGCTATCTATTGATGCATTCTACCATTAGAATTAAAGGCAGTATGTCCCAAATTCCGGTTGTTAGGGGAAAACACTAGAAGAAGTTCATCTCCTCCATGTGCTGCTTGCGAGTTCTTTGATCATCTGATCAGATGCTGGGTAACACAGAGTGTTTGGGCTTGTGCTTGTCTCATCTCCTTGACTGAACCATCAATCCAGTTTTCTAGATTTGTTCAATGTACTGGACTTATAAATTAACCACACATGGTGGTTTCACACACCACACTACAGTAAAATGTGATTCGCTACTTATGCAGTTCAGCTCTGTATGGCCTGATCCAGCTAGGTTCTTATGCTTCACAATTTAATTCTCTATTATGAGAATACACAGGTACAAGCATTGGGAAATTTAGTCTTTCTACCTGTTATGATTTGTCACAAAACTATGCAATATTTGGAGCTTTTCTGCAAATGTGAACAAACTGTCTTGTCAGGATTCATTCTTTCATAAAATGTATATTTTATGTTGGCCAGATAAATCCTCAGCTCTAGAAATGGTTCCCCTAGGAGAGATTTGGAATGAAATCAGCACTACTTATTTTCTAAAATTAAACTTCCTGTGAATAAATTTTGTGGGCCAGAGTCCACTTCTTCAAATTCATGAAATTTTGTTGTGAATACATCTGGGGCTGTGTATGCGAGGAAGTGAAATTTGGCCACAAACGATGCAGAAGATTTACCGAGTTATTTTCCTCTGTTTTGTTTCTAGAGAAGTCTAAAGTCACTTCTGAAGAAAACCCTTTAAAGTAATATGCCCCAAAAGTTCCCTCAAACATGTGCAGGCTTGCCTAAGGCTATCTGAACTTCAGCAGACTTGCTTGAAGATAATCTTTCTCGACAAAGTTCTCAGTTAACAGGCTCCAGTTGAATTGTAACCAAAATCATAGAACTGAAACTTCCTGTTGATATCTATGCTGGGTTTCATTAATTGATCAGGAACTGAGTTACTGAACAAATAGCTGAATTAGTTATTAAAACTGGATACAGTAATACATTTTATTCTTTTATCAGCATGGATTAATACTTTCTGATACAAACAATCATGCACATAGCTTTTCAGATACTATTTTTTATATGATAATAAACATAATGCAGACTTGTCAACCCACAGGCAACAATTTTCTTAGTCAACAGACATATTTGTTAAGACTATGTCACAAGGGCATTCACAAAATGGCTGCCATGATGAGCATGGCCAAGTATAAAACATCATTTAGTAGAAGAAAAATAGATTGCTCTGCTGCTCCAGCTTATTTTTACCTTTTTTTCTAGATGGTAGGTACTTTTCATCATTTCACCATTTTCATTTATACCAGCTTCCCGTTTTTCTATTTAATTAAAATGATCTTTTTAAAAAATAATGATTACATGGAACAGGAAGTCTGGCAGGGGAATCCAAGGGTACTTTGGTGCCCAAGGGCATCACACGGATAGCCATCAGACAAAACTGAGTCCAGTGCTTCCTAATGAACAACTTAAAAATTGTTATTCCCTACACATGGGACAGATTTCTCTTTTTTTTTTTTAACAAAAATCTATTATGAAAGTGTCAAAATAAGTCATATGTAGATCACACATGTCTGAGCATCTTTGTGCGCAAGAAAGGATCATGATTAATGGGAAAACACAGTTCCTTACAAAGGAAGCCCAGGGAGACCTCATTAATTTATTTGCAGACAATAGGCAAAGAAGTTTAGAATAGCAACCCAGCATTGCTGTCATGGCTATGTTGATTGTTTGATGCCACAGTTAGTGGACTGCCCAACACCTTTTAGGAACACAGGAAATAGTACAATCTGAGATTTACACCATTTGTCTGTCTAGTTCAGTGGTGGTTTTGTCTGGTAAAGGAAGGGGACATCCATTAAATTTTTCATTGATAAATTTCCTTGTGACATCAAATTAGGAGGAATAGCCTTCTGCTGTTAATGATGTTTTAGTATTAATTCAAGACCATATACGTAGATCCACCATCCTGAACTTAGCCTTCTGAATACTTTCTGAGATAAGTGTTCTCCAGTACTCACAGCACAGCTTTCTGGGTGTTGTAGGCTCAACATGTATGGAGGGAAAGACTGTGGTAATGGTGGTAGCAACTAAAAGTACTGTTGACTTAAAGTGTGTAATTTATAACTTTATGCAAATACATTTTATTGAGATGGATCATCATCCAAATAGATAACAGCAAATTTGTTCTCTAGTTCAGTTGCCTTACATTCTTTGAGGTAGAGACTCTGCATGTAGGTGAGGGCTTTCATGTACTGTATGCAAAACACTTGGCCTGCCATTAACCAGTGGCCTTTGAAGCTATTTTCAAATTTCAGAGAATATATTTCTCCTTTCCAACTTGCAGCTCTATTTCTTAAAACTTGCAATACACCTGCAAGTTAAACATTGCTAGAGTATTATTATGAATCCATAAAACTATACACAATGGTTTGTTTGTGTGTGCTTTTAATTGTGTATATCATCTCACATCTGCAAGTGCCAGTCTTCTAGATTCTGTATATAGTCTGCTAACTTTCACATATATAGAGGAGCAGGGAGAGAAAGAGAGGGAAAGAGATTTGTACCTTGCTTCAACACAAAGACTGAAAGTATGGTAGCCACAGGTTTATATAAATGTTACATACTGTTTGAGCATGCGCACACACTAGTAACAGATCCCAAATAGAGAAAGAATTGCTTTACAATTAATAAAGAAATAAGTTAACCACAACCACAGGGCATCCTTCATGGTGTGAAGTTACTCCAGAGACATTCCTAGACAGTAGGTAAGTTGAACCAAGGGCCTAATTATTACTCTAACAAGCTGACCCCATTTTTCCAGTCGAAGAGATAAGGAGATAGGGCAGCATATATCTGTGAGTCCTGCCTCCTCTTAAGGCATAACTCTGTAACCAATACCAGGCCCAGTCTGGCACAATAATAAAAATAAAAATGCCATTCTTAAGGATGTTGCATGAGAGGTACAGAGAAGAACATCTATGAACCCGAAGAAACTTATAGCAATACTATACTTATAAATTGATGCAACCCAACATCTTATTCCAAACCCCCACACTGTGCAATGCTGCTACATAATCTTGGAAAGAGACACAGCTGCTTTAATGAGTTGTGTTTGTGCTCTTGCATTTTCTGAAGTACTGCACAACACTGTGATGAAAACAAGAATAATTATGGCTTTTACCAGAATCAAGAATGTCCTTATTCTAACTTCTCAACCAATTTCATTGTGTTTTGCTTTTTATATATGGTTGCATGATAGGAAAACTCTTATGACTCACTTGGCTGGGTTACAGTAGTCCCCCCAATGAACCAAAAGAAAATGTGCTAGACATTGCATAAATTATTTTTAGTGTTACTATGTGAACATAGCAATGTAAAATGATTTATTCACATCTGCTTGCTAACTGTATATATTATTTTGCATCTGTGAGGGTCAGTCTATTAGCATGTACCCAGTTACTGTCTCATTCCTATCCATTTTTGCCCTGCCTAAACCCCCAAAATCACATATTAGCATGAAATAAACATGTTTGCTTAGAATCCCTTGTTTTATTAAAGCTTTACCTTCATGTTGCTTTACTTCCACCTTTCCAAACACAGCCAAAACAAGAATTATACAGCTTTCAGGCAATCCTTAAATATCTTCAACGCTTTTCCAGCAGAGGGCTGTTTTACAGTAGCCAATAAGCCATCTGTGTACCCTTCCATTCCTAACTTGGGCACGGCTGGTAGACTTAGGAATGAATAGTTGCTTGGCCAGTGTCAACACAGTGTAATGACAGCATGGAATGAGCTTCTCTGTTAAGCCTATTCCAAGCATGATTTAATGGTCCCATCTAGTTTGCATAGCGGCTGTATATCTCAGCACCCTGGCTCTCTGACAGTAGGCCGTGGTTTGCTTCGCTGGAACAGGTATCAAATTACTGAACACTGAATCCACAAGGGTTTTCTAGGAAAGCCATGTTACAAAGGTACATTGGCGGTGCTGAGATTACAGTCGCTTATTTACTTCTTCACAGTTTTAACAAGCAGTACTGTGCTTCCAAGTTAGTAACAACTAATGTGAATAAAGCTTTTGAGTAAAGCAAGAATGAACATGTTTGCTGCCTATTCCCCACGATATTTTGCCTTGCCCCACATGTCACAAATCACATACTTGTGTGAAAAGGCAGTAGCTGTGTGGTTGTTTCCCTTGCAATGCCAAACGGTGTTTCACTTTTTACTACTATGGTAAGGTTTAAGGTAAAGTCTACTATGGTAAGGTCTAGTATGGTAAGGTTGGTAAGGGGATAGATGTTTTAACTAGGTTTTTTGCACTGTAGAGTTGTGTTAGGGGTGTTGGTATCATGGGGTCCCTGGTATGGATGTAGATAGATAGATAGATAGATAGATAGATAGATAGATAGATAGATAGATAGATAGATAGATAGATAGATTTACATGGCCAAAATCATAAAATTCTGGCATTCTCCTTAAATTTACATCTTGCTAAATTTATATCTTGTGATGATCTCATGAGATTCCCACTATTTTTTTTAAATAACAGTTTTACCATTTTAGGGTTCTGCAAATATCATCTGAAGGTGTGAGGGGGGTATGCAATATGATTCATGAAGATGTACTAAGATCCAGTGGCTTAGGAATGTAATAATGTAGTGGTTCATT